GTGGTCACCTTTAGAGCAGGGGCCTTCTTGACCTGCTTCATGCACAATACCCCTTTATGACTCCTGATTGGGGGCAGCCAAGCAGTGGGTGGTTTTTGTATACTGGATAATCAGTGGCACAACCGGGCAATATGAAGGAATACAGGAGCCTGGGTACTGAAAACTTGTCTGATCAACTCAAATCCCTGCCCGTGGTGTTATTTCTAACATATTTTCTTTTTATGTAAGTACTTCCTAGCAAGAAAGAAAATAGGTTTGACAGTGTGTGTGTTTTGATCAGTATTTCTTTCATGCGTTGCTAGAGGGAATGCTTATGATTTTGTTTGTTTTGAAGATGAAATTCCTGTAGAAAGGTCATTGCAGTGTCAGCCTCTGTCATTTCTTGCCCTCTTATCCTGCAGCTCATCTGTAGTGTGTCAGGTCTGGCTTACTCCTCCGACCAAAAAAGGCAAAGAATGTGTACGCCTGGCTCCCTTCAGCGAATCGTCTTGGTGCTCCACCATGGTCTGAGTTCATAGTGTCAGCTGGACCCACAGGAAACAGGGCTGTTTAGAGACACACTTTCTCCTGCGTGCTTGGAAAGTCTGTGAGGCAAGAGTCCCAAGCTTTGCCAGGAGCATAAATCCTAGGCTTTATCTCAGAACTGCACGTTGGGCCTTACCCTGTATCATGTAAACATTTCTTGACAGTCACTAGGCCCAGGCAGTTTCTCCAAGGTGCCTGCCACCCCTCCACTCCTTTCCTTGAGCATCCTGAGATAGGGTAGCAGCAGTCAGTCACAGATGATGCCTCTTCCCTGTTTCTCGGCTCCCCTGGCTCCTCTGGGGTAAGGCAGGGTTTGCTGCACTAGGTGCTTGCAGCTGAACGGAGGGTCAAGCTCAGCCCCTCACCTCAGGATAATAGAGCAGGGAAGGAACAGCAACAGGACTGCTTGAGTCTTGCATGAAAGGTCGTGTCTGAAGAAGAGAATGCAGGAGAGTGTCATGTGTGCCATGTTATGAGGAGTGAGGTGGTAGGGAGAGGAGACTGACAAGCAGGAGTGCCACAGCAGGTGTCTTCGGAGCAGGCCTCATATGCTCAGATTCCAGGACCAGGTAGGGGAGTGTGGCCATTAGATGAAAGGCATCTTCAACAAGGATCATGTGGCCATCGTGACACATCATTTCTCTACCTGAGTGGTACTTGGTGTGCTAGAAAGATGGTGGGATGCAGTACACTCCCTTGAGTTGGAAGCATCTGAATGGGTCTCATCACACTGAAGTTGGATTTCCTCAGAACAGGAATTGCCAAGGGCACAGCTTGGAGCCCCATAGCAGCAGAAGTTGTGAACTGTCCTTGTTCTAGAAGGCAGTCTGGTGAGTTGAGATCAGAGATTCTTGGATTTTCCTGAGATCTGTCCAAAACCAAGAAGAACCGGAAAGCTAACGAGGTAGTATGTGACCCAGCCTGGGGAGCATAGAACTGTGGGGAGAGTAAGGAGGCAGGTGAAGGCTGGGTTTGTGTTTGGTGAGAGTTTTGTTTGGATTCATTCTTGAATTTTTCTGTTGGTCTGTGGCCACACGTATAGATGATTTTATTCTGAAAGTAAAAAGTCAAGGGGAAGAGATCACAACATGTAGCTACTACTTAGTCCATTTAGGGAATCATAAAATAACCATAGGCTTAGTTTGACATAATCAGAGCTTACCAGAAGGTCCAACTGCTCATCTCTCCTCAGGACCTTAAGCTGGGTCATTTGACTGTACCAGTCAAGGAGATATATGTTTTAACAGTTTTAAAGACAATCACTACCTGTATTTGGCTTTTGAGAGTATATACCCAGTCACTCTTGCTAATAAGGTTAAGCCTCTGGCCTGCAGGTCTCTTTTGGTCTTTTTACCACTCTCACTCTTTTTCTAGTGACGACTTCCTCCCTACGCCCCGGGCCTGCTTTCAAAATAGATGTCCCCATGAGAAGAGTCACCCAGTGGCACGAGAAGGCATAGGCAGGATCTGTCCACTTTCAGAGTGGCCTGAAGAGAGAGCTTTCCTGTGAACCACATTTCATTTTATTTAAATATGTTTCTTTGGTGATGTCTAGAATACAGTGTCAACCTAAGCATGATGGGAGGCGTCTCTGCCATACTCCTTACAAACAACTAGAGTTTTTAAAACTTGATTACGAGAGAGTTACTTGAACTTAAGGTGGTATCTAATTGGATCAAGCCACATTTCCCTTTTATCCTCAGTGAACTTGCCAAGTTGGTCTGACAATCACCATCACTCAAGCAAGAGTCAAGAGTCTTGGGTTCTGATCCCAGCTTAGCTCACTAGAGATCAGTGATTTTCAGATTGTTCTTGAGGGATTCCTTAACTGAAGTGCTTTGGAGTTGCATGGGTGGATGACTCCGAGTTGAAGTGGCTTTCATTTGTCAACTTTGGTCAGAGAATTTGGGCAGGGAGTAGCTATTATGTAACTGTTTTACCCTTTTGTACCTGGCATTCAGAAGAAATTTAGTAAATGAATCCATGTTCAGAAATAGAGAATTGTTTTTCATGCTTTATAATAATTTCTCTTGAAGTATTTATGGCCAAAAAAGAAAAATACTGGTGGGGGAAGAAGGGTTCAGATTCTCCGATATGAAAATAGTTTTCAATTTCAAGAATGTGAAAGGTGACTGAACACAGTGGCTTGCATCTGTAGTCTCAGTGCTTTGGGAGGCCAACGCGGGAGGGCCACTTGAGACCAGAAGTTCAAGACCAGCCTGGGAAACATAGTAAGACCCTTGTCTCTACCAAAAAAAAAAAATGAAAAAACAACCTGGGTGTAGTTGTGCAGCCCTGCAGTCCCAACTTCTTGGGAGACTGAGGTGGAAGGATCAATTGAGCCCAGGTGTTAGAGGCTGTAGTGAACTATGAATGTACCACTGCATGCTAGCCAGGGTGGCAAAGTGAAAGATGACTTGCTGAAGCCTAGGTCTCAGGAAGGTCACTTAATGTGATGTGCTTATACTTGGTGTTATGTTTCATATACTGTTAGTTAATTCAGCAAATGTCCTGGACACTGAGGGGCGTGGGAGATGCTGTGTGAAGCTTACTAGCTAAATGAGGAGTCACTGTTACTAATTTGTGTAAGTGATTGTTTTAGTTGTGATAAGTTTAAAGAACAGAAATGGGATGCCAGCAGCACCTCCTTTCTACCGGTCTCTGTTCATTTGATGGCCCATGTGAGGAGTTCTCATTCTGGTGGGAGACAGTGATGGAGGAGGAGTACATACCCCATTTCTTTTTCCCACTCCTTGCTGGGACTTTTGTCTTTACAACTCGAGTTTTCATTTGGCCTATTTCCTGTCCTTTTTTTTTTTTTTTTGAGTTGGGGTCTCACTTTGTTGCCCAGACTGGAGTGCAGCAGCACAATCACGGCTCACGCAGCTTTGACCTCTTAGACTCAGGCGATCCTTTTATCTCTGCCTCCCGAGTAGCTGGGACTACAGACACACACCACCTCACCTGGCTAATTTTTTTATTTTTTGTAGAGACAAGGTCTCACTTTTTTGCTCAGGCTGCCCTTTTTGTAGAGATCTCCTGTGCTCAAGTAATCCCCTCACCTTGGCCTCCCAAAGTGCTGGCGTTGCAGGCGTGAGCCACCACACCCAACTTTTTTGTCTTATTCTTCCCATCAATTCCTAAACTTTTAGTAGAACCTCACTCTCTGCCTCTCCAGGTGTGCTTAACTCTGGTCAAGGAATTTGGGACTTACCTTCAGATGAGGAAGGGAGGGAGCACTCCAGGGTCACACAGCAAGTTAGAGGCAGAGGCAGAACTAAGCAGATCTTGGAGTCTCAGTCCAATGCTTTTTATTACGTTCCTGTAGGAAAGGCTTTCCCCAGCAAGGGCCCACCTCAGGGACCTCTCTAGCCTTGCAGAAACAGCTAGAGGAAGAAAGATGAACCCCAAAGGGCTCAGGGTTATTGTTTGTACAGATTTACCAAGAATACTTTCTTCTGGGAGATGAGGAAATCAAAAAATAGGCCCCATTCCTTTCATCAGGGCTTTCATATTCTACAGGAGCATGGAAATCCCCCTTGTGTGGAGAGAGAGCACAGAGCATCCTTCCAGGGCTGAGGCGCACGCCCTGTGCAAGGGACACTTGGAGCAGGGAGAGATGGGGCCTAGTCTCCGGGAGGAAAGAGAAGTGTGTTCCCAGAGGGAACTCTGCAGGTGGCAGGGGAGTGGAGGCAGGGCTCTGCCAGGGCTGAGAGAAGAGACTTCTGCGATTCTTCAGGCTGCGGGAAGCCTGAGCACGTGGCCCGCAGGCAAAGGGTGGTTGGGAGAAGCACAGGGAGCAGGGGCTAGTTTGAGAAGACATTGGACTCTGAGCCACATGGAGTTGCACCCACTTTCTCAGAGGGGCTTGGGGAAAGCCGGACTTCTGGAAGAAAGGTCCAGTGTCACGTTTGGGAGACTTAGGCGTTGGAGACTACTAGAAGGTCTCACAGGGACTTGGCTGCAGTTCCTCGGATGTGGAGTGGGGAGGTCCTGACCACAGGTGGTGACAGTGGGGTATCTTGAGCTTCTGTAATGCTTGTTTGCAAAAATGATAAATCTGGGTTAATCTCTAAGCTTTAACATAGAAAGTACAGCTTTACAGTGATTTTTCTAGCCATATCTAGATGGTGTCCTCAAACTAATTGTAAAGCTCATGTTCATTTTATAAGGCACTTTGAAGCTTTCAGTGCCACTTGAAAGAGAACGCAGATACTAAATGTCCCTTCTTTTTACTTCCAAATCTTAAGTACTAAGTTGAATACCATTTAATTCACTGTTGCCAGTCTTACACGCTGCTGTCCTTTTCTGATGTAAAACTTTACTTTTTGAGAGCTTGAGAACCCTAGCACTGTGCTGTGGCAAACAGGGTGGGCAGCCTGGTGGGGACAGGAGAGCAAGAGGGTGAGAGTGCTAGCTCCGTCAGTATGCCCATCACCACACTGAGACCTGACTGTCTTCTCTTTGTCTCCTAGGAATACAAACAGAAGCTTGCGCGAGTAACCCAGGTCCGCAAGGAGCTCAAGTCTCATATTCAGAGCTTGCCAGACCTCTCACTGCTGCCCAATGTCACGGGGGGCTTGGCTCCCCTGCCCTCTGCTGGTGACCTGTTTTCAACTGATTAGGACAGGTGTCATGCCCCAGATTCACATCTGTACCAGCAGAAAGAAGAGGGCAAGTCATGGCTGGAAGTCACTACCTTCTAGCCCCAGGTTCTATCCCTTCTTCCACCTGGCCCCCCAGCCTCACGAAAGAACCAGACTCTGATTCTCCTCCAGCCTCTCATCTTGAGCACAGTTCAGAACAGTGGCGAGTGGAATCGGATACAGACTTACATTTGCAAAGAATACAGACTTTTTCCCCCTACTTTATGTGTTCATGCCCCTGTTGGTTTCCACTCTTAGCTCTCTTGACACCTGAGAAGTTATGAAAATCATGTGTACTTCTGGAAGCTCTCAAAAGAATTTTGTCCCTCCTGACAGCATTTCGTCAGGAAAGCAGCTTCTCCTTTCTGAACTGGGCTTGTTCAAGCTCGGTACGGGCTTCCGCAGAGGGTCTCACTCTGGAGTTATTACTTTCCCAACTCTCTGCCCCCAAAGGGTGAGGCACAGCTGTCACAGTGCGGCCAGAAAGAGTTTGCCAAATCTCTGATCTTCCCTTACCATTACTTCTACTAGTAAGGCATAGTAGGTGGGGGTTTTTTTGTAAGCAGATGGGAGAATCTAGCAATAAGGTTCAAAGCTAATCTGGGACATAAAGACACGGTTCAGAGACAATAACAGGGATCACAAGCGTGAATTAAAAATAAGTTATTTACTTCAAGTCCCTACATATAACCCTTCCAAGCTGGACTTCTCAGAGTCCCCACCCACTGTCAGAGTACATTCCTAAAAACAGGATGCTTTGACCCCTGGTAGCTGTGAAGGCGGTTGTTAGGGACAGCCCCGGTGGGCCCCAGAAGATGAAGGCCCACACACAGACATGCTGCATATGGGCTTTGCATGGGTGTTGCTTCAGCCCTTTTTCTGGGAATAGGACACACACGTTTAATACACTGTGCGGGCACATGTCCGTGGTACGGTGACTCAACTGGAGCATCTCTCCAGATGGGAGCTGAGCATGTCATCTTTAGTCAGGTCATGCCACTGCACAGGTCCTTGTCCCCACATGGGAGGAAGTATTTGCATCAGATGTTACTGATAGCTCATCACGGGCAGGGGTCAGGGAGGTTGGGGGTATTAATTGGGAGTTTAATTGTATTATCATGCCAGCTGACATTATGACTATATAATGTAGTTAGAGGATTTTTATCTTGCTTACAGTAAAAGTTTAGCCTGCCAACTGTGAATCATTCTAATTTGGCAGCCTTATTTTTGACATTGGAAAGGGCAGAAAACAGTTTGCCCCAATGGTGTAATAGGAATTACAGACCAGAGACTGAAATTCAAAAGCTGTAAAAAGGAAGTCAATGGAAGGGGCTTCAGAATCCCCATTGATTTGAGTTGCTGTTTTCAGGATTACCAAAAATTACTACATGTAATTTTACTTGCTAAACATGTTAAAAATCTAACCTGTGTTTTATAAAGTATAACAAGCTTCCATTCAAGAAGCTCTCCTGCCAATCATGAAGTGAGAACAGGGAAGTCATGGCAGGTATTCAGCTTAACTGTGTTGAACCTTGTAGAGTTGAAGCTGTTGCTCACACCTGAATTCAGACTGTGTTGTTTGCGTGTTGCCACTGCCTGTTGTTCTGTCCCTGATAATGAGTCTACAGGGTTTTCTTCCAGAGGCCATGGTGACTTACTAAACTTGCAGGTGAATGTTCATCTTTGCTGCTTCTGCACATCCCCCCCGCCCCACACGATGTGCTGCTCTAGTCCCACACTCACAAACTGGTTTCTAACAGACCCGCCTGGATACTGCTTCACCAGGGAAGCAAGACGTTACCAGCCACAAGCCAGCAAAAGGGTGTAGTAGACTCTTGCTCTGATCAGCTGGATGGAAATATTACGGCATCATGGATTTAGCCCACTGCTCTGTTTTATCTAGCTGAGTCTTTGACCAGCAATTGGTGCATAATTATTATAGCAAGAGCAAGAAATGAAACTAGCAATTATGTAAATGAATGTGTTGGCCTCCTGATACCTGTTACTAGTGGACTTCCTGTGAGGAAGTTAGTTTTGTTTTGTTTTAATGAAAGGCTTTTGTTTTTTTTAATTTTAATTCTTTTTCCCACATGCTCCCACAGTGTGCTTACTTCATTTGTTTAATTTAAATGAACCTCTGTCCTAGTTTGTATAAGGTGATCTGGTGGGGTGGGTGGGTGGTTTTTGGTTTTGTTTTTTCTTCCTTAGGGTGTCTATAGGCCTCAGAGGACCTTACCTTTAGGTCATTTCTCAGAAAGTCTTCAATCTTCCTTTGTTTTTGTTTTGTTATTCTTAAAGAATATTTTTAAAGCTTAAATTTGTATATTAATTTAGGATTTTATTTAGAAGTATAGGCTGTCGGCGGCGGCAGCAGTATATTCTGAAATGTCTCATAGATATATATTTTTGAATAAACATGGTGTTGTTGAACAACAGTGTGTGATGCTTTCTTTACCTCCCCTCTAAGGGAAGACTGCAGTGCTTTCCTTGTAAGCTGTGGGCGATTAGTAATCACTAATAGAGAATGTGCTTGTCTCTATACAGAATCTCGTCCCTTAGGAGTGTTTGTGACACATAAATACTCAACACTTACACAGTATTTTCTGGTTCTTTCCAAGACTTAATTAACTGTAATTAGCCAATCCACACAGTACCCACGACAAGCCCCGCCAGTGTGTCCACACTGTATGGAGCAGGAACCGAAGAAGATAGGTTAAATGGCTTTGTTCCCTGGTGCCACACAGCCGATCTCTGACACAATAAAACTAGGAAGTTTTTTGATTTTGGTGCTTTTGTTCACCACTAGGCCTCCTGAGAGCTATTTGGTTTTGGTGATTCAGTGAAAGCAACTCTGAATGGTAAAAAGAGGAAAAATGTGAGATACTTGCCCACATGGAGTGGTGTGCCTTTTAAAAACACGTTTGTGGGTTTCCTTTCTTCTTTTCACTTGTGAAAGGGTAAACTGAGGCAAGGTGGGCCAGTGCATTGGGAATAATGCGAGATTGCTACAGGGAAAAAAGTAGAAAAAAATAAAGATTATTATTAACCTTTCACAGATGGGAAGGGCCGACACCAAGACAAGTGTGGCGTAGCAGGCTAAAGACTAGGAATACTTAAGGGCTCTAAAGCAAACCCCTAAAGCTAAGGGGCTTAAACCCGGAGGAGGTTCAGGCCAAAGGGAGTGTCCAGAATTGTATTCTTTGGTTTCTATGGCAGTCACATAAATTACATATCTTGACATTGCCAGGCATCAACATTCCATGACCTCAGGTGGTGGGCTGAGGTAGTCATAGTTGGTTAATAACAACATATCAGTAAGCATGGCTCCTGGTGTTGTGCTGGAGGTTGTCATGGGCAGCTAATAACAAAGTATTAATAGAAATGCCTAAGCCGGGTTTGGTGGCTCAGCCTGTAATCCCGCGCCTTTGGGAGGCTGAGGTGAGTGGATTGCCTGAGCCCGCAGGTTCGAGACCCGCCTGGGCGGCGAGACTTCATCTCTACAATAAATCAAAAAATCAGCCAGGCGTGGTAGCGTGTGCCTGTAATTCCGGCTACTTGGAAGGCTGAGGCAGAAGGATCGCCGGAGCTCAGCAGGTCGAGGCAGCGGTGGCCGGGAGCGGCCACTGCACTCCAGTCTGGACGACAGAGTGAGACTCCAACTCAAAAAAAACCAGAAATGCCTAAAAAAATAAATTGTTAGCAAGCAGGACATACTCAAGGGGTTCTGTATAGTCACTAATTTCTAAGACTAAAACATTCTTTTTGTTAATGATTACATGGCAAAAAGGCATACGTGACGTGCAGGCTGTACAGCAAGGGGATTTCGAAGAGTTAGGCCTAAGCAAAATGACTGTGCTGTTTTAAAATGACTATATTAAACTAAATATACTCTGTCTTTAAAGGTTCCCTCCTTTCAGACAAGTGTCTGTTCAGTGAAAGCATATTGACTGGCTAGTGCTGGCTAAAGCTCTCCAAATAACAGAAAAATTGTTTGAAATGGGTCCTTTGGAAGCAAGCAATGTTTGGAAGGCCCATCTAACCTGGGTTGGAACAGCCTTTGCCAGAAGAAGTGGTGCCATCACTTTGCAGCAGCTCAAGTGAGGCCAGTGTTAGGAAAGCAGAGATGGCGTTACCAAAGTTCTGTCTTAAAATATAAAAGGTTGAATGTAATATGTGAACCTCAAGAGACAAGATCTCCTTCTGTGTCCCCAGTTTTCATGGCCCAGTTAATTTCTTCACTCCTGCCTATAAATAGTAAGTCTATAATTCTGGTTTAATTAGCTCTTCAGGCTACAAAGTGACTCTGAGGTCCTCAGAGCTGAAGATGGAGCTACCCAAGAGTTCATGAATCTGTCAGAATGCTTAGCCTTTGTGATGAGAGCCATTAGCTCTGTGTGACCTTCCGGGGCAAGGTTTTTTCCTCTCTGGGCCTCAGTTTTCTTATCTGTGTAATGTGATGTTGGATTCCGTGATTACTAGGCTTACTGCCAGCCCTGAAAGGTGGCTGTTGTGCTGCGTAATGTGGGACTAAGAGCTCTGGATGGTATGTCCTGGGCTCCCAGTGATACCTGTTAGATAGACGAGTAGTGTCACTGCACTGTGCACACTTACAGAGACCCTGGAGCCCATGGTCTGTAAAGTTCAGGATGCAGGAGACAGTGCCAGGACTAGAAGATGAGTATGGTTCACTGGCATAAACAACCCTTATTTGGTGTATTTGGCGTGTTGAAGGAAAAGTCATTTTCTAACATAATTTCCTCTTTTGTTTTCTCTTAGAATAATCCATCTGACTAAAGCTCTTTTCTCACTGCCACTTCTGTGGGATTTTCCATTCAAAAATCATGCTTCCACACTGAGCATAGATTCAATTAAGAATCCATCATTCTCCTGGATGGTAGGTTGGGGTTCATACAGCTTTATGTAGTATTGAACGTCCAGTTTGTTCCATTTATCAGACTCTGAAATAGTTATTTTGCATTAAAGGTTCATTTCTACCACTGACTTGGTGAATATTAAAATTAGCAGTATGAGTCAATTTACCTAATGCTTTTTGTGAATAAGAGGCAGATGCAGCCATCAATAACCCATATCTCCCGATCTCTCGCTTGATGACCTGGGGCAAGCCACTCAGCCTTTGGGGACCTCAGCTGCTGCTTACAGAAAATGAGTAGGGTTGAGTAACCCCTGAAGTTCTTCTGAGATCTAAAGCTCCATGACTAGGCTTTCAGAATATTTCTCCTTACCAGAATCTTAAGCTCAGCACTTGCAGAATATGCTCAATTGATTTTTTTAAATACCAGCTATCTGTATGAATTCTTGGGTATAAACAGATAGGATAATTACGAACATACTTATTAATAACGCTAAGTGAGATGCTTGTAAAAAGGGCCTAATGCTTTGGTACAAATTAGGACTCAGTGTTGCTTGTTAAATATTGCATGCAGGTGTTCACACACATGTATAACGAGGTTAAAATAGACATTTGCTGGAAGGTAGAAATGGAGACCACATGGCTGGACCGTATCAGTCCAATTACAATGAGGGGTCAAAAACTTGTAATCCTCATCCTCCCCCAAATTGAGGGTATAAAAAGGATCAGGAGTTAGACTTTAGGGAAGAGGATTTTTAGTGAGGATTCCTTTGAAAGAGCCATTGGTGTGGAGTTTCCCTAGGGTAGCAGTGGGTACCCCTGCCCCTCACCTCTGGGGCAGGGGTACCCACTGGGGACAGGGCCTCCCTGGACTTAGTATATGTCCCCTCTAAGGTGTTCATCTGGTGACTAGACAGACCCTGCCGGGAAGAGTCTAGAAGATGCGATGCCATGCTGGCTAAGTGCCTGGTGATGGAGTGACGGGGGGGGCGGAAGCTTTCTCCCTGGCTTTTTGCTATCTGCAGTTCACCTTGAGGAGAGTCGCTCAGGCTTTGAGGTCACCCCAGAGACCCCTGGTGATGGGGGATGAGGATGGGCAACAGGAAGGTGGGAGGAAAGCCCTCCCAGGAGTGTTGGGGGAACCCAGGGTAGAAGGCGGCTGCTGTACCTTGACCCAGTGGTGCCCAGTCATCGCCGCACCTCAAGTGGGGGCTGGCTCTTGCTTCGCCGCCTTACCCTCACTTCCCGGCTCCGTCCCTGGAAGGGTCAGAGACAATAAACAAGGTGCCCTCCCTTCCCTGATGCTGGCTTCCCACCTGCTACAGGCCCAGAGAAGTCAACACCATGAGCCATTTTCAGTAAAACATGGAATTGAACATTTGCTTTTCTGAGTGGAGACTGTTTGCACCTTAATTGTGACTACAGGAGTTTTTAAACTTATATAAGAATGAATAGGGAAGTTGTGGATGCCTCTGTGTTCTTCTAGAGTTAGAGAATACGCTAGACCCACAAATGGATTTCAAGGAACACCAAGAGACAAAGGTGCTCTGTGATAGCATCCCTCAGACCTGCTTGTGTATTGTAAAGGTGGCACACATGGGATTTATTTTAGGACCTTTAATTCTTGGCTCACCCTTCCATTTTTGTTAGTTAAAAAGTTCCTTTCCACAATCTTAATTTGTTTGTTAATTTGTGAATTCATCAGTGATCCTTTTGTGTATACATGAACACATTTTTCAAGATTTGTAAAATATACATAACATAAATTCACCATTTCAGCCTTTTTTTTTTTTTTTTTTGAGTTGGAGTCTTATCTGTTACAACCCTGGCTGGAGTTTATGCTCTCAGCCACTCCAGTCTCAAACCTGTTGGGCTCAAGTGATCCTTCCACCCCAGCTTTCCAAGTAACTGGAACCACAGGCATGTGCCACCATGCCTGGATAATTTTTTGATTTGTTGTAGAGATGAGATCTCACCAAGTTGCCCAGGCTGGTCTTGAACCCGTGGGCTCAGGCAGTCCTCTCCTCTTGGCCTCCCAACGTGCTGGGATTTTAGGTGTGAACCATCGCGATTGGCTTATTTCAACCATTTTAAAGTGTATAATTCGGTGACATTTAGTACATCTGTGATGTGCAACCATCACCACAAGTTCTAGAACATTTTCATCCTACAGGAGACCCTATACACATTAAGCAGTCCTATTTCCCCCTAGTCTCAGGGCCTGGTAACCACTAATCTGCCTTCTGCTTCTGAAATTGCCTACTCTGGATATTAATATAAATGGAATTACACTATATTTGACCTTTTGTGTCTGACTTCTTTCACTTAGTGTAATGTTTTTAAGGTTGGTTCAACCATATTGTAGCAGATAACAGAATTTCATTCCTTGTTATGGTTGAATAACATCCTATTGTATGAATGTGCCACATCCTATTTATCCATCAGTTGATGCACATTGGGTTGTTTCTGCCTCTTGGCTACTGCCAGTGGTGCCGCTGTGAACATTCTCATACACGTTTTGGTTTGAACACCTGTGTTGTGTTCTTCTGGGTGTGTGCCAAAG